TTAAGAAAGTATGTATAATTTATACAAGCCTAAATATTGTAGTAAGAAAAGGTAAAAATGAAACAAATGTTAATTTCTTTTACTGTTTAATATGTAGGTACATAATAAAATTATTTTTAAAAGTAGCTTGTAATTTTTCCTTGGGACAGTGACTGTAGAAACTGTTTAAATGTTTCACGGAAATGCAGAGTTTCTCAATGCCTTTCATAAAGTATCCTGTTCTTTTGTCATTGTCTCATTAAAAATTAGACAGTTGTGCCTTTCTTAACAATTGGCTTAACTTCTTGTACATTAAAGACTCTTTGTCTTCTGTTTCTGCTTTCGTCATCTGCTTTGGATCATCCAGTTTTGCATTTGGCATTATATAATCATCATTATCAACTAACTCTTTTATTTTTCTTTCTTCCATACTTGAAAATGCTTCACTCCCTATTGCTTTTGCTATTTGTACAATTTCCTCAACTTCATCTTCAGTCAATGAAAATCCTTTAAAATTGTTGACAACTTCTAGCCAGAGCTGATGCCAGCAAGCATTTATTGTTGATAAATTCACTTGTTTCCCTGCGAGTTTAATCATTTTTATACAGTGTCTTCTGTTGAATTGCTTCCAAAATGCCGTTAGTGTGCTATGCTTTCTTTCATCTTGTGCTTTTTTGTAAAGATGTAAACATACCTAACATAATAAGCTTTGAATGCTTTTATGATTCCTTGATCCATTGGTTAGATTAAGCAAGTGGTTTTTGGTGATAGGAATGAAACCTCTATGTTTGGATACAGTGTTGGGAGGGTTTCAGCACTGTATCCTGGAGGACAGATTTTGCTGTTCCAAGCAATGTGTATTTTTTTAATTAATGAATTTTTAACCATTATTAAAAAGTATTATTTCAGCGTGGTCAACATTGTGCATCATAACCATGTATAATCGAAATTCTCGTGCAGGAAAAATTACATTGCATATATGCAAAAATTGTGTTCCGCCAGTCTGCATTTAGCAAGGGTTTACTAAACCCCATGCTTTAAAATCATTACCTGGTAAAAATATATTTGCGAATGCCCCTTGGCAATAATTGGTGATTTATGGCGGTACATGGACACCAAGTTCGTGCAATTCTTTGACATTCATTATTTTGGTTTTGTAGCATTTTTGTCACACAAATCCAAAATAACAAACCAAAGAATTAAACAAACTCGGTATCCACGTATACATCAGCCTATTTTCACTTCAAAAAACATCAGAGAATTGCACAAACTAGTCATTGTGCACTCCCTTGACTTTGTCCATGTACACAGCAATCTATATTCACTTAAAGAGTCAAGGAGCACCAACAAAAAATATATAATCTCAATAAACTACATAGCACTGTACAAAGGAAATATCCATTTATCTTATTTACGAATTTATGTGTCTTCAGTTAAACAAAATTCCTTAATAGCATCCAAAAACTTCCTAAAATTACCTGAACTAGAATCTGTATACTGGCATCGCCACTTTCACAGTATTCATATTCAGCGCAACCAATTTTGTCATAATAGGGTTTCCATAGCATTCGACTGCTCAGGTTACCATAAATGAAACAACAACTTGGCGATAAATGGAACAACAATTTGGCAATAAATGAAACAACATCTTCGCAAAAATCCAAGGGGCACCCTTAAATCAACTTGCACCTTAAATCAACAAACCCTTAAATCAACAACACCCATTACCTTTAAGTGGTAACACAGTAAAGCGTTGAATTAAAAAAATGGCATTTAATGTTGAAAATAAACTTATAGATATTTGCCAAAACTCTTCATTTTCTATGCAATTGGATGAGTCTGCTATTGCAGATAATAATGTTTTATTAAGCCTTAGGACTCCTATGTTGAGTTTGGCTTGTCATCATATTTCTTACACAAACTCCTTTGTGGAGCTTTTTGTAAATTTTGATACCCTTTAGATCATAATTGCTCTTTATTTCATAAATTGTGATTTCATATTTTTAATTTTATAATTTCTGCTTGCCATCTTACCAGATTTAAATTGATGATCTATAATCCGGAAAAATCCCTAATCCAGAATCGCTGAAGTCCCAACGAGTTCACATTAACGTCTTTGTACTGTATAAATTTTACAAAAGCGTTTGAGCTATTGTTTTTGGTTCCTTTTCAAACCGAGACCAATTCTGATGAAGAAATTATTGTAAAAAGAAGAAGAAATTTAGAAGACTTATAAGCGATTAATGAGGATAGCAATGAGCAACCATCTATTTCTACATATAATAGGCAGTTTGTTGGAAATGATATAAAATTATGGGCAAATGTTGCTGAAGGAAACAATTATCATCATAACATAAATTTCTGAGTTGGTGAAAATGTTGTTGGGCCTTAAGTTCCATCCAGTTGCACATCAGCTCTAGAATTTTTCAAGTTGTTTTTGGCTCCTGTTAAAAAAAGTAGGGAGTGAAACTAATACATACACAGCAAAAATAATATCAGAAAAAACACTGAAATATTCCATTTGGCAAAATCTGAAAGATGTAACTGAGAGTGAAATGAGAGCCTTTATTAGTGTCATCATAAATATGGGCCTTGTTGTTTCAAAAATTTGGAATCATACTGGTCTCAAGCATTTCCTTTGAAGATGTCATTTTTTAGAAACATTTTTTCACACAAACGTTTTTTCCAACTATTTTGGTCACTACATTTGGAAACAATTTCACCAAACACTCAAAAGACGGGGACAAGGATAGAAAGCGTGAGCAACTTTCTGGATTAGCTAAACCAAAAATTTATAGAAAATTATATACCTCATGAAAATTTGGCAAATGACAAATCTATAATCTTGTTCAAAAGAGAAAAAAAACTTTCTCATGTCTAACCCTAAAAAACCAACAAAATTAGGGCTTCAAGTTTATGTTTTAGCAGATTCTAAGACAAGTTATTTATATGCATTTGTTCCATATTATGGTAAAATTACAACAGATGGCTTAATTAGACCAAATCTTAATTTCATTAGCAGAATGGTGATGCAACTCTATCGAAATTTACGAAATTCAGTTCCTGAAGGTAAAGGGTATCATATTTTTACTGACAGATTTTATACGAGCCCCACTTTAGGTGCAGAACTTCTAAAGCCAAACTGCATTCTAACTGGAACAATTATGACCAATAAAAAAGGATTGCCTGAACAAATTAAAAAAATTAGCTGTTGGATATATAGTACAAAAGAATCTTCTATTTCACATCCTGCAAGAAAAAGATCAAAGACGACTGAAAATGCTAGTGAAAAAAAAAAATAAATAAATAAATAAACAAACTGACTATCATATTAGATTATAATAAAAAATATGGATGCTGTAGACTTCAATGACCAGTAGGCTACATACTATTGTTTAATGAGGAAGAATTTGAAATTGTGGCAAAAGTAATTTTTCTGGGAATTGGAAACTTCCATTTTGAACTTGTATATTTTATTCAATGAATATGCTACAAAGAAAAATATCAAAAAGATGTGATTAAAAATTTAGAGAAAATTTATTGATTACTCTAGTCAGAGACTTCCATGCTCCTACACACACACACACACACACAAAAAAAAAAAAAGGCTCATTTTCCACAGATGATACTTAATCCAATATTTAGATGGGAACATGCAGTCTTACTGTAAATATTAAACTTAAGTTTATCAAATTTAATGTTGTAAAATCATACTTTAAAAACAATAATATACATTAGAACAATATTGTAGCTTCAAATGGAGTACCATTAGTGGTAAGCTGCTATTGTGGATTTATTTCTTATTTGGAGAAGAAGTTGCCAAATGTTTATATTTATTGTATGGTGCATAGGCATCTTTAAATAAATCATTTAAGTACAAGTCTCCATTGATCCTTAAGTATAATAGTTAAAGCTATAAACAAGATCAAACTAAATGCCAAATAGGGCAGAACGTTTCAGCAGTTAGGTTAAGATAATAATGAGGATGTTGTGAGGTTACTTTTACATGGATCAAGTGTCTGTCAATGGGAACATGCTTGTCTCATTTTGAAGCATTATTTGATTGTACTGTAGTGATCGCATAGTATGAGAAGCCTCGGTGGCTTTGGATATGTAGCTGTTTGCTTGTTTCACCATCTATTAGCACCAGTGAGAACTACAGCAACACACAAATTTCACTTGTCAGTTCGAGATGATAATGACCTTGAGATTCAATCCTGGATCTGTTTCATGGAAGTCAAATTTGCTGTCACTAGTGCATAAAATATTCTGTGTGTTAGCTTCAAGAATTCTGACTTTCAAATTGTGCCAGCATCGGGGAACTCTCAAAATCACTAAAAACTCGCCAAAGCATTTCTGAGGTGACATGAGAAAATGCCCGGTTGGTGGCTGTGGTTACAAGTCCAGTCTGTTGATGATATTGATCGTGTTTGATATATTGTTGTTGATCACTGTTGATGATATTGATCTCATGGAAATGAGCCATGAGCAGCATGAGACTTAGTGTGCTAATCCCATATCGCACATGCATTTGTTTCATATGAACAACTGTTTTGGACAATTTTTTCTGCCTGGTTTACTACTGAAAGAAAGAAGAACAATTTTTTCCCCCTTCCTTTCAAAAAAAATTGAGAGTTGTTAATTTTCAACCAATCAGCTATCAGCTTGTTTGTAATGGAGAACCAGTGTTCCCTTTACATGTTAACCACAAAGTGATCTGTGGTGATTGGCTCTTGTGACAAAGCAGAAAAATTATTCCAAATAGTTGTTCTTCTGAACCAAACAGACATGTGATAGCAGACTTAAAGATATTTTTGATGGTTTTGACTGTTAATAGTGTTCATTGTATTGTAATGCAAAAATAAAGGTTTTATTATGCCTTTAACTTTACATTTATGATTTTTGTGATAACCTGTGATATTTACAGTTGCTTTCTAAGGCATAGAATTTATTGTTCAGTTTTTAATATTTTGTCTCATTGTAACATATTGCAGAGTTTTAGCATATAAATTTTATTTTAGGAACTGGTCCATGTGCAATATTCTCATTATTGGGTGCAAAGAAAAACAGCTGGAAATTTTTTGCAACAGAAAGTTCAGATGAAGCAATAGCCTGGGCAAATTCTAACATTGAAGCTAATAATTTGCAATCTTTCATAAAAGGTAAGATGCTAGTTTGCAATAAATGAAATTTCTTTTAGGTTATTTTCTCGGAAATATGGTTTCATATTTGTAAACATTTCTTAACCAATAAGTCAGATTTAATCCCAATGAACTTTAATTTTCTGCATCCAGTCAAGCTTTGAACAAAGTGCAGTTTTATTTTTAAACAAATGAACATTTTATTATAAACCTCAGAGTTTTATAAAAATGAATTGTAAATTATTAGATTTGTTGTTAAGTTGATATTTTAGAGGATAGTGGAAAAATTTGGTGCATAAAATTGCTTTTCTAATTTAATTATCTAATTTTGATGCTTTTAAAGACCTTTCAAAATTGTAATAAATAAGATGAAAAAAAGAAGGAAAAAATAGAATGGAATTTTAAGGAATCAGTATACATAAATTTATTCTTCCGGTATTCATAGATGTTGACCACTTTATGAACTTTTTCTTTGTATGCTTTTGCAGGAGACTTAAATCTTAATGAAGGAAATCTATAGAGAATTTTTGCTTTCATAAAGAAAAGTTAAAAGTATTGTTTAATATTTATTATGAAATAATAGCTGAAAGTTATAGTTAATTGTTACATAGCATATACTATTAAGGCAAATTTTTACAAAATGTTATTGTATGGTAGAACAGAAAATGGGAGGCTACTAAACATACTATATAATTTCTAGACTTTCACATTAGAGAAAGCATAAAAAATTTTAACTTTCAGCATGAGATTTACTAGGGACCGATACAGCAGACAAGCAATCTTATGGATACAAATAAAATGTTAAAAGCTGCTCTTTGTCCTCTGCCTGGTGCACCACAAACCCTACTGAAAACCTACTTTTATCTCCCTCTACTGAATACCTGACATTTTAACACTTCACTATCAGTACTATTATGGAGTTGCTTGCTCTTTTCTTATTTTCAAATCTGGAAGATGAACTTTAAGATGATTTTACTAATATTATTTCTATTTACGCATTTTATATATTTGTCATTTATAGTATGGCATTTTATTTTATATTATATATTTATCATTTATACAGTACAAAGTCTGTAATCTGGACGTCCATTATTCAGAATGATCTCTAATCTGGACCTCAAAGCCACAAACTTTATGCATGCACGTAGAGAATGCGCATACATTACGCACATATGCTTTACGCATGCGTGCGTTGAAAGAAATGTTTAATAAAGTAAACAAATAAATATTAAGCATTTTTTTTTTTTTTTTTTTTTTTTTTTTGTAAAATTTGATACCCGTTAGATCATAATTGCTCTTTATTTCGCAAATTACGGTTTTATATTTTTAATTGTATAATTTCTGCATGCCATCTTACCAAATTTAAATTGATGATCTATAATCCGGAAAAACCCCTAATCCGGAATCGCTGAAATCCCGACTTGTCCTAATTACGGACTTTGTACTGTAGTATCTCTTGCTATTATTTTAGATTTTAAGAGATGTTTGGTATAATTTGAAAACATTTTTTACTTAGTATATAAAATATGGGAATACACAAATCACCTTTCAGTGTAAAGTAATGATAATACAAGTCGTTAATTCGGACACCCATAATCCGGACCTCAAAGCTACAAACTTTCTGCGCATGCGCGTAAGACTTTTACGGCTGCGAATATGCGTGTGCGTAATACGTTTACGCTTGCGCGTTTAATGTATAACGGACGGTATAAGCTAAGCTAAAATTATCTAATTCAGTTAATGTTGCAGTTTGCGTTGTTCCTGAATCTTCGAATTGGATCCGGCTTATTATTTTTTGCAGACTATTAGAGCAATTTTATAAAAGTAAGCTTGAACTTTCGATTATGTCAAATAGAATTTCTGATATATATTTACTAATATGTAAAGGATCTACAAAGCGAAAGTATGTTTAGAAGTCCATTAAACAAAAAGTGGAATTGCTGCAAAAAATGGATAAAGGAATATACTTCGTTTTTCAAACCATTCTGAAATCTGTTTATCAATTTCACGCTGCTCTGCGGCAGGGGGGGGGGAACGCCGTGGCGTGCAATGAATTGGAAGTTAATCTGTCAGCACTATCCTTATCTTCAGAGCAGATGTTTTTATTTTATTTTGCTTATAATTCCTTACTAAATGTAGTATTTCATCTTGATGTACTCCGTCTTTGATATGATTTAAATCAAATTCCTTGTCATTATACTTTACTTTCGATAAAGAAGAAAGTGATACAGAGGTTATTGAGACCAAAAAATTTCGATTGACAAATTAGTCGGTATTCTCGACACAGCAATTATAGGACTTTAACAGCGGAACTTTGTAACTGAAGAAGAAATTATGTCTGTTTATAGAATTAAAGAGAAAGTATTATCACATAAAACGAAGTAACTTAAACAACTTACATTGAAAGAAATGTTTAATAAAGTAAACAAATAAATATTAAGCTTTTTTTTTTTTTTTTTTGTAAATTTTGATACCCTTTAAATCATAATTGTTCTTTATTTCATAAATTATGGTTTCATATTTTTAATTTTATAATTTCTGCATGCCATCTTACCAGATTTAAACTGATGATGTATAATCCGGAAAAATCGATAATCCGGAATTGCCGAAGTCCCGACGAGTCCAGATTAACGACTTTTGACTGTAGCTTCTTTTCTCCCCCTCCACTCATTTGGGGAAAGATTTCATTGAAATGCTCTGCTTCTTACAAATATATATGTTTGTTATTAACATATATATTAATAAATATATATGTTTTGTTATGTTTACTTTTGTGTTTAAAATACGATTACTTTTAAGTTTAAAATACGATTACTTTTAAGTTTAAAATACGATTACTTTTATGTTTAAAATGCAGAAAAGCAATACTACAATTAATTTTTCAGATTAAATACTTGCATTTATTACATTAAGCATAAATAAAAGATGAAAAATAAAAAAAATTGACCTCATTATGAGGAACTATTTAAGAAATTGAACAAACTGAAATGTGATTTTTTGAGATTTAAATCCAGTTCTGCATAAGTTCTGTTGCTTCATATACAAAACAAAAATTAGTATTTTTCATCCAACTGTAGTTAATAATTGTATGGGGTTAATCATTTTGGTAAAGATATTAATATTACATTAGCTTTATATCTTCAATTAATTTTTAAATTAATAATGTCCTTAATCATTGCATTTACAGTATTTGATTAATTTACTTCAGAGCATACGAAGTTTCATGTATTGGCAAGATTTTGCATTCTTCACATAGATCACAGGTATTGAAGTCAAGATTATGGAGACCATTCAACACCCCTATATCATGAGAATATTCTACCTGGGAATATTTCATGGAAGAGTTCCACTAAAATCCTCAATATGTGTACCATTACCATATCCTTTTGAAACCAAAGATTGTGGTATTCGTCATAATGGTAGCAACATTATAATTTAACAGAGCTGCAGAATATCATAGTGCATTAAGCTGTAGTTATTAAAGCTTTGTTATCTTCATTTTTCAAGAAATGTAGCTAATCGCTCTAGACCCTGTTACATGACATGAAACTTTAACATAATACATACTTAAAAATTTTGGGATGCAATTTAAATGAGAGTTCTCAGCAGCTAGTTGTGACAGTTCTTACGGTTGACATAGGTTCAAATATGAAATTCATGGTCTTTCTGGAGGATTTTTAAAACAGAAACATGATTGCACATTTTCTTAAATTTTTCACCTGTTATTTAACGATATTGTGAAGAGGAATACGGTTGTTAAAATCAATATTGAAGTGTTGTTAAATGAGTGCTAAATTAAAAACACAGACTCATTATTTTTGAAGACTGATTCCATTGCAAAGGCATAGTATTCTGTTAACCAGCCTTGTTTTGCTATGAAATGGCATTCAGTTGAATAATATGTGTGCCCAAGGATATTCATATTGTTTAAAGGTTTAGCCATGACTGTATTTAAAAACTATTAAGTTTTTATTGTCCTCATTATATTTCATATTTAAATTCAGAGATTTCAATAATTGTATTTTTATTTTTGTAATGTTTAAATGCAGTTTTATTTTACAGTTATAAAAGTCAGAAAAAACAGTATATTGGATCAAGTTTTAACTGAAAATGATGACATCTATGATTTCTGTCTCTGCAATCCTCCCTTTTTTGAAGATGTGAATGAAATCAGAAAGAAAAATGCTCATGTTAAAGAAACAGTTGCTAAAACAGCTAAAAAGGATGAAATTGTGGTAGAAGGAGGAGAAGTTGCTTTTGTACGCAAACTGATTTCGGATAGTCTTGTCTACAAAGACAGAATATGGTACCTTTTTTTTTAATGTGTGCATATTATGTTTATGAATGTGGGCTCACTAAAACCATTAAATACTTTCATTTAACTGGAATAAAAAATTTATACGTGTATTTCATATAATAAAAAGAAATAAATCTTGAATGCATATTTGATATTTAGTAATTTTTTTTCCTAATAATTTAGTAGTGTATCAGAAATTTGCATTTCTATTTGCCACTGCACTTAAAAATAATATCATGAAACTTTTCTATCTTTGAGCAAAGTATTCATCTGCCTGCCTTCTTTTTCCTGATCTTTTGAGATTTCTGTTAAGAAAATATAATGTCCTCGTTTCCTGCAGTATGTAAGCATTTCCTGTGCAGGTTAACTGAAAATGTTAGGCCATCTTGATGGTAAAGAATGCACTGTTGTCATGTTCTTTTTGAACAACAGGAAGCAGAATCTCTGTTATCAGTATTGATGATTGATTATTAAAGATTCTAAATATTAAAGTAGCATGGAATATTAAAGATTCTGAAGAATTCAATCTCTGAGGACTGACTGAAGAGCTGAAGCGAACCACCAGCTTATGCTCATTGTGGTGAGCTACTACTCTTTGTTGTTTTATGGATTATCTAAGGTCTTAGATACCCCTTTCTTCATCTTCTCATTTTTTCTCCTAACACATCATATTTATGTAAAAATAAGTGCATTATGACTTTGACTACTAAATCACTTATGTAGTTGTTAGAATTTTGAATACTTTAATTGTTTTATATATGGTGTTATCCATAATTTAAAAATGGCTAGTTGAAGAACTTGGAATGCTGACAGCAAGCTTCAAGAAGTACATGAAGCCACTTATTGAGAAGATAGGAAATTATTCCTAAATAGAATCAAAATGAAAGTTTGACTTTATTAAAACACAAAAGATTCTTGTAAAAAGTTCTGAAAAAATTATTTATTTAACTATTTGATTTTGATTCAAACAGAATAAAGTATGTGGCAGAGGGATCAGTACAAAATGCCCAAGATTATAAATTTTTTTATATCATGATAGCTAAAAATCGTTTTAATTTATTGTAATTTACAATATATGATCTGAAAGAATTATATTTTTAAATAATTTTTATCACAATTTGGTCTTCTGGGTAGGTGATCATATTAAAACCCCATTAAATCAGACAATAAATTCACATAAATCTGTGTAAGCCTCAAAATTTTATAGAATTTTGCTTAATATCTAGTCTTTAGTTAATACTTCATTTAAATGCTAAATAGAAATCTGTTATAATTTTCATTGATATCCAAATCTTAAAATGAAAAAAGGATTTCTGAAATGCAAGAAGCAGTTCTTGAGATCCTTTTAAGCTGAAACCTCCTTGATTCTTTGAACTAGGCATTTGTGAAGAAAAATCTCCCTAACTTGATATTACAAAAGAGATGTGTGCTTAAGTCAGCATAATTTCATCTCTTCTTCAATAAAATATGCTTTGTCCTGCATTTTCAGTGGAAAGGAAGTAATTGATATTAATTTAGTAATAAACATGAGATGTAGTTAACCCTTTCAAGGGCCATTTATTTCTCTTTTGAATTTCTCCCGTTTTTTTTATGTTTTATTATCAACTAAACAATAGCATTTAAGGAAATATATTTTATTTTGCCAAATTTTTTGTTTACATTTAAATTCTAGTGGTGGGAAGTATACTTCCCACGGGACCTTTTATGGTCACAGAGAAAATTCAATTTAAAGGCGATTATTTGCCGTGAAAAGATGAGAAACATATTGTAATGCACAAGGGTACATCACATACTGCACACATATAGCGGGTCCTCTTTTCTTGGGCCTTTGTGCTACATTTCTTACATCGTCTATAGTTGGAAACCATCTTTGGCATATGATTTCCCAATTTGGCTAAGCGTATATCATCCGGAACTGCACACCTTTTTGCTTGGAAGCTAGCCGGATGGCCTTTCCTTTTTCGAGGAATATCCGTCTATTAGTTGACGAGCTAATGCGATACGGAATGTTAGCTGGTCTAAACTTCTGTTTCTCTTGTTTACTTGCCACAGTATAAAACTATTTACGATGCCAAGATCAATAAGAAAATCAAAAATACGATGCCACCATTCTACAATCTTCTTCCTATTTGGTATCTTTCTTTTCTTTGATCGAAGCAATCAACCCCTCCCATGATATCATTACATACTGCAACAGCTTTAGAGCAAGGTACTTCTGTTTTAGTATCATCCTTTTGTGTACGATTTACATGATGTAATAATCACTGAATTGTGTGCAGTAGTCAACAATGTAACAGCCTTTTTGTCCATCCACTTTATGCAGCAACACCTTCCTTAGTTAGGAACATTGATTCCCTTCTTTGTAGTTTGTTATTAGCCTTCAGCATTGGTGGAAGATCCTTCCTTTGCGGCCTCACAGTCCCCACAAAAAACAGACCACTTATAAGTAGACTTTCTGTGAGCCTAAAAGATGTCAAATAATTATCATAGGCTATAACATTACCTGTCTGTTTCACATCTTCCGTTAGTTTAGTTTGTTTCCCCTAAGCTCAATATTTTACCCTTATTATCAGAAGTTTCTTTTCCACAATAAATTTCAAATATTTGAATATATCCAGTCTTAGAGTCTGCTAAACACCACACCTTGTAACCTCTTTTTATAGGCTTCATTGGCATATACTGCTTCAATGAAGTTCTTCCTTTGAAAGCTATCATACATTCATCTATTCATAATGTTGACGAAGGTTCGTAGATTTTAGGTATGGAATCATTGAGCTGTGAGAGGATTGGTCTGACTTTATCGAGTTTATCATGCCCAAGTTGCCCACATGGATTTGTACTGTTATCGTTTACATGTAAAATCTCAGTTACTTTTTTAAACGTGTTTGTGGTTATTATTCTTGCTACTGATTGAACATTGAGAATAGGGTCTATGCTGCAGTAGTTTTTTAGTTCAGGCAATTGATGTTACCTATGAGTATATGCATACCTAACCATGCTTTCAATTTTTCTGATGTGATTTCTTTCCAGTTCAGGATAAAGTCTTTTGTGGTATGACCCAATCTCTTCCTTTTCTTAGGCTGCTTTGCATATGAGTTCCGTCAACAATATTCTGTAAAATTTTCTCTGTAAAAATCATGCCAAAATAATCCTTTTCTTTCTCAGTAGAATTGAAAGATATTTTCAAATGTATTTTCAAAAATATTCTAATTTTTCCAACATACCTATTGCATGTGGCTTTTATACACAATGCAGTAGCATTTTCACTTTCCACACATTATTTATTATTCAGTATTAGATAGTTCTTGCAGAAATATACAAAATAAGAGAAAATTATTATAATAAAAACAGTGCTTTACTTACATTTGTAGCAGAATCGTATAGCAATGCAAATGTCAAATCAAAACAGGTGTCTCAGTGGAAAAGATCTCGCACAACACGTTCAAACTTTCAAAACAAATGTGGTAATTCTGTTTTCAATCAATTTAACACAGATGGTAGCACAATACTGAAGTGGGAATTAGAGTTCCCAACGTTATAATACCAAAGCCAATATATTATAGTGGGTTTTGCACTTCCACAGGTGTATTTCCCAGGATCATGTAGGTGGGAAGTAATCTTCCCATGGCCCACGAAAGGGTTAAAAGTTATTGTTTGATTATTTTAATCCTCTTTACATATGAACAAAATAAAAATAATTTTATATGCTTCAGAATTTTATTTTTATTACTTTGGCTTTAGTTTTTCCATATTTAAATGAAATTTTTATTATTTGTCACATTAAACTATAGATAAAGTTTAGTCTCTGAAATGTAATATTTACTTCCTTTGCAATAACATTTTTGTAGTCGTTCAGTTTTAAGTTTGATCGTAAGATCCTTAGCAATAAAAAAATTGAATTGCTTCAAGTTTGATGTCTTTTTTAACAATCATTTTAAAAATGTTACTTAAGAGTCTATAACAATAACTTTAATTAATCTTGAAAAGATTATTAATTTTTCCCTTGGATAAAATGGAATTTGGTAAATACCATCATTAATGTCATCATTAGAATTATTATGGCTGCATTCAGGAATCTATTCAATATTTATTTTGATATTCTATATATTTTGTTTTTTTAAAGCAGTTAAAAAATTTGTCTTTTTTTTAATCCAAGTTTTGAAAAGAAAAATTAATAATTTTTTAAAACTTCATTTAACTGGAAAAATAAAAATCACTGCATGTTATTTTGTCTGTTTTTAAGATAGAAGCTCTTGACTTATTGCTTTCTTTGGTGCACTCTTCATAATCTGCTTTTAGCAAAGTAAACAATTTTATATAGTGATTAGAATGATTTCTTTGATTTATTTATTACATCAAACTATGTAAAATAAATTTAAAGGAAAACAAGATGAACTGTAAATGAAAACAGTGGTTTCCTGAATTTATATGAACTGAAAGGTATAGAAACTTGAAATTGGATAACTAAGTGTGATGCAAAAGAACAAGTCAAATAGAGTACAGAAAAAATATTGATGCCTAGAATCAAATATTTTTTAATCTTTTATTCGGAAATGAAATAATTATCGCCGTTTTGACTTTATAAGCTGCCAAAGTGTTTTTGCCATTCCGTGTTGCAAAAACATCACTATTTTTTATGCTTATCATTGTTACAGATTAAGTGATTTAAATATAGTCAGTATTTGAGCATCTTAATAATTTTCACATCTTTTTTATGTTTTGAGTAATGAATCCAATTTACACTTTTACTAACAGTTACATCATTAGTGTAATTAAATTAAGGGCATTTCTGTTGTCATATGTCTTGATTACAAAGTAATCATTCCTATGAAAAGCTCTGTTACACTTTTGTTTTATCACTGCAATGCTTATTTCTAAAAGGAAATATTAGATTTAATTTATCTACTTTTGTATAATTTTTTAATGTTTCAAAATAGTTTTATTTTGGATTTGTCCAGAAATGAGGAATTAAAATGTCACTTTTTTGTTAAGAAAAAATATTTTATGTATATTAGTTTTATTTTGGATTTATCCAGAAATGAGGAATTAAAATGTCACTTTTTTGTTAAGAAAAAATATTTTATGTATATTATTACTTTTAGCACAATGTATTTCAGCAGCAGTTGGAGAAATGTAGACATTATTCACTATCTATTTTTGATATGTGGTTTACATATTCATAATGAAATTACAAAATTGCTTATATGTATGGAAAATATATTCAGTTTGGTATTTAAATGGATTTAAGTAGTAAATAATACAATTCATATTTTTATATATATATATAATTAGAGCTGTATTCTTTTAGTAGTAGTCCTTGTTTTAATAAGTAAATACCAAATTTCTTCATTACAGTTTATACACCTCAATGTTTGGTAAAAAGAAAAGTTTCTTGGCAATACAAAAAGAAATTAAACTCTTGAAAGTAAGTTTGTGTATCTTTTGTTTTGCTTATGTTTCAGCACTAAAAAAGATAAAAAGATAGATAAAAATTAATATATTATCTAGGATAAAAATTAATATCTGAGATATTAAGTTTACCAATTTTGTTTGCACTTTTGAGGGGGAGGGGTGAAGGGGCAACCTGTTCATACACAATTAAAATTGTTTAAGTGAAATGCAATTTTTCATATTTGTATTGAATTTCTTGCGATGTTATTTGTATGAAAGTCTGAAAAGTTTAAGTTGTACCTTGACTTTTTTCCTCTCACTTTTCATTCTGTATTATATAAAATTATGGCCACTGAAATATTTTTATAAAAGTCCTAAAACTAATATAAAATATACTGTTTTATTTATTTTTTGATAATTTAAAAAAAAATTGCTTGTTTTTTAGGATGTAACATTTACTACAACTGAATTCTGTCAAGGGAATACTATTCGTTGGGGTATTGCTTGGACTTTCCTGAAATCCATCGAGTTTGTAAAGGTATTTTATTATATTTGTCTTTCATTTTTGAAGTGAAAGATTTTTATTTTTATTATTTTTTTTATTTATATGCATTTTACATAAAGGATGCATAACTATGCATATTACGTACTTTATTTAAAAGCTCTTCAGTTATTTAATTACTTTCATTGCATAAAGAATGTAAATTTGTTAGATGAATTATGCTTAAAAACCATCTCCTAATAAAATAAACATGTAAGTTCAATGGCATTTAAGTTACCGAAAGCATTTATGTTATCTATATACGTTATTTGTTAAGGCAAGAAGCACAAATTGTAAACTGATAGTAGTTAAAGCATTAATTAATATATTTTGTAACTGCTAATATAGTTTAAAGTAATTTTTATATGCTTACATTATGAGAGCCCTAATGTAAATATGAAAACAAGTAGGAATTTAAACATTTGGTATAATAAAACAGTGAAAACACAAAATTCTTCTCTGGTTCAGACTTGAGGTAGTGCAGATGAGAGTTTTGTGGATTTCAAATCATAATGAAATATTACTGGATGTAGACCAGTAATTACTTCCATCCAGTAATATTTCATAATGAAATATTACTGGATGTAAAAAAAGCCTGAATAAATTAAAAGAAAAAAAAATCTGAAAGTAATTAACTTTTTTACATTTTCATAGAGAAATAATATTGTAATGTATTAAATATATTATAAATTTGTATGAAAAATAAAGATAAAAAGTATTTAAAAATTACTTTTTACATTTTCAAACATTTCTTTAACTATAGTTTGATTTAAAGGTTTAGAATATTGTAGGTTTGTGAGACCCCCCTTCCACAAATTATACCAAGTCCTTCTGCAAATTATACCCTCTTTATGCATAGCTCAGTTTCATTATTCTAAACTCGTTTTTTTCACACTGGTATTCACAAGAAAACTGTTAGTTTATTTATGCTGTTTTTGAAAAATTTGTGTTTTTTAAAGAACCTGGAGAGTTATGTGTAGTGGTAGGATAGTGGTAGTTGTACAGTCAAGGTTCTCTGATACAGAAGTATAAATTGCACTAAGTTGAAATTAACATAGATTTAATCAGTGACTTTAACAACATAGATGAACATATTGTATCAGACTATGACACATTAATGAAATTGTACGATAGATAATGTACGAATGTACTAGATTGGTACAACATTATTTGATCCTGCTTAACAGTCCATTCATATAAGCAGGTACTTGGTGATGTAGAAAGATAATCCAGAATGCTTGAGTATATTCCTTATTTTCACTGTGCTGTTCCTTGTGAGGACTTAAATTTCTGCTCCACACTTGAAAGAATCACAGCTGCTGGCCACATTGGCAAACACCATCAGAATCGGGAAGACACACTACCCTTTCTCTCTCTGTCTGTTCATCTCCGAAACCATTCGTTCTTAATTTTTCACTGTTCATTTGTAACCTTCTGCACAGTTATATAGTTCACCTTTTCTGCTCAGTGCAATCATGAACAGGAGAAATGCAAGTTTCTATTTCCAACAATTCAAAACTCGCCATTGTGATGAGTACTTTTTTAAAGCTCTGATTGTAATAGAAATAAAAAATTCTAACTACTGTAATCTTGTTCCATTAAAACAACTAAAGAATAGTCTTTAATTAAGTGCTCAGATTTAGCAAGTTTTAACAAAATATTTGTTTGGCAATGCTTCAGTATTCCATGAGGAAAACCTGTTAGTAAAATTTGATCTTTTGCATTTTGAAACTGAATATTACAGTTGCCAAAGGAGTGTAAAAGTGTCACTCTTAGCTCTCTAATGTTTGAAATCCACTGCTGTTCCCATTAGTTCCAGCTATTACTGTATAATACGTATGATAGTTTAAAGGATTTTTCCACTTTGTTCAAAAAGTTAACTACATAGTTCCGTGAGAATTTTAAACATTTTCTGTGATAATTTATTTTAATTAATGAAATTTGTTTTTGTTTCAGTGTTTGAGATTTGAGGTTAATTTTGTACTAATTAAAAAGTTATATTTTTATAATTTATTATGTTCCAAATTTATGCTATAGGAATTTCTGAGTGCCTGAATATGAGCTTAAGTGTGTGTACAATAAAACTTGTAGTCAATGATCACAAAAGCCGCATACATATTCCTAACTGGAGCACAGTTTTAATGCAGAGTCATCTAACATTACTGTTTAAACTCAGTTTCTTCGCTTCAACATAATTTTTTCCATTATCCCTAATCAACAAGCAGCAAGAATCCAAGTTTTTTATTTTTGCAGTCTTGTCTTGTAAATTTTATTATTGACATATGAAAAATTATATGATTTCAGGTGTAGATGGATTTTTCTTATCTTAAATTAATCATGCCCTTATAAATGAAGCATTTAATTGTGTGTGTTGCTCATATTTTTTGTTTCAAACTACTTATCAGATTTTAACCAAAAAAAGCTATTTTTAACTTTTTCTGTTGATTAATTATTGTAATAACCTCTAGACCAGCAGTTCTCAACCTTTTGACTAATGTGTACCACCTAAACAAAAACTGGAAACCTTTCGTACCACCACCACTCTTGAATAAAGCTCAGATCGCATAAGTTTACAAGTGTTAGAGAAAAAACTCAATCAGGATGTTGGGTTTTAATTTTTGAATTTAATAGGTAAAAATAATTTGCTTCTTTGCATACCACTTATTTTTCTCTTGCGTAACACCGGTTGGGAACCCCTGCTCTTGACCAATAAATAAGTGAGAGAAAATAATAACAACTCTCTTGATAATTCAAATTAAAATCCATATAACTTACAAAATAAACTACATAATTCTGATGCAACAAATTTGAAGAAACTTCTGAGAGCAAATCAAAGTTTAAAAAAACAATAATTAAATTAAATGCCTAAGCACACTAAAGTGCTATTAGCAATAATTACCTTTCTAAATCAGATTGCAGCTGTTAAAATTTTATTTAAAAATGCATTTAGTAATCCATACCAGAATATTTTAATTAATTATTGTTAGTCTGTTCTAAAACATCATTGTATGGTGATTAATGCAGACTCACTTATTCTCATGCCTCTGAGCCTGGTTTCAAAGAATTCTGTTTGAAGGCTTGATTGTTTTCATTTCAGTGAAATTCAGTCTGTAATAAATTCACATTGATCCTGAATGGCAATGCAAATCTTTCATTTAACAATGGTACCATAAAACCGAATTACTCCAGTACATCATAACTGTATATATACAGTCAAAAGTCGTTAATTCGGACACCCATAATTCGGAATGATCTATAATCCGGACATCAAAACTAAAAACTTTCTGCGCATGTGCCGCGTTGACACATGCGCAGAGGCGTTCACGCATGCGCGTAAGACCTTTTACGACTGCGCATATGAGTGTGCGCAAGTGCAGAATACATTTTCGCGCGCGCATTTTATGTATAATGGACGTATAAGCTAAATAATTATCTATTTCAGTTAATGTTGATGATTGCGTTGTTCCTTAATTTTCGAATTGCATCCGGCTTATTATTTTTTGCAGACTGTAAGAGCAATTTTATAAAAGTAAGCTTAAACTTTCGATTATATCAAATAGAATTTCCGATATATATTTGTTAATATGTAAAGGATCTAAAGCGAAAGTATGTTTTGAAATCCGAAATCTGTTTATCAATTTCACGCTGCTCGGCGGCGGGCGCGTAATGAATTGGAAGTTGATTTGTCAGCACTATCCTTATCTTCAGCGCAGATGTTTTTATTTTATTTGGCTTATAATTCCTTACCAAATGTAGTATTTCATCTCGATATGCTTCGTCTTTGATATGATTTAAAACAAGTTCCTTGTCATTATAATTCGCTTCCAATAGCGAAGAAAAGTGACAGAGGTTATTGAAAACAAAAAAATTTCGATTTACAAATTAGTCGGTATTCTTGACACAGCAATTATAGGACTTGAACGGCGCAACTTTGTAACTGAACAAGAAATTATGTCTGTTTAATAGAATTAAAGAGAAAGTATTATCACATGAAACGAAGCAAAACTTAAACAACTTACATTGAAAGAAATGTTTAATAAAGTAAACAAATAAATATTAAGCTTTTCCTTTTTGCAAATTTTGATACCCTTTAGATCATAATTGTTCTTTATTTCATAAATTACGGTTTCATATTTTTAATTTTATAAGCATGCCATCTTTCGAGATTTAAACTGATGATCTATAATCCGGAAAAATCGATAATCCGGAATCGCCGAAGTCCCGACGAGTCCGGATTAACGACTTTTGACTGTATATATAATTTTTCATTTTATATCATGAATTCAATCTGTATTTTTAATTCAACCCAAACAGAACTTCAATTTTACTCTTTCCAACATAAAACAACATAAATAGAAAAATGTGAAGAGGATCAAACAACTACCATCATATGAATGAAATTTAATAAGAAATGTATAAAAGGGCTGGCAATCTATATATTACTATAAAATTTTATCATAATCATTCAAGTGCAGAAAAAGAAAGATCTTTCATGAAAAATGCAGCATGATAAAATTTTTATTTTGTTGGCAGTAAGGGTTTTTTGATGCTATATAATAGGTCAGTTGCAAAATTTTTAAATCTTCTTGTGCATGCTGTCATCAGCATCCAAAATAAAATTGAATGATTATGATAAAAATTTATAGTAAAATAGAGATTGCAAGCCCTTTTATACATTTTTTATTAAATTTTATTCATATGATGGTACAATTTTTTAATCCTTTTCACATTTTTCTATTAATGTTCTTTTATATTGGAAAGAGTTGAAAAAGAACAATAGAGTTTTTAAAATTAACTTTGTTGTTTGAGTTATGTTTGAGTTGAATTAAAAATAAAGATTGAAAAGTGCAGCATGGTAAAATTTTTATTTTTTTGGAAACTGTGTAATTTATCTTTCAATCAAAGTAGAAAAATCCTTTAAAAGACTAAGATATAGTCTTATGAATAAGCAACAATAAGTGTTACTTTGGTACTTTGTGATTATCTGCCCCTCGCTG